CGAAATTTTTGGGCAGAAATTCTTTAAAACAATTTTTTTAAACAAAGTCCAAAAATAATTTTTTTTAATCTGGAAAACGTTTTTTTAGGTTTTTTGGGCCATTTTAAACAAAAAAAGTCTCTTGTCATTTTTCTCTAAAGTTGATAGTTTTCGAGTTATAAGCGATTTAAAGTCTGAAAAAACGCGAAAAATACGCATTTTTGAGGCTGGAAAACACATATGTAAATTATTATTTTTGATATTACCAAGTGTCTAAATCAAAGTTTAAACATTCAACTTCAAGATTGTGAAGAGTAATCGGGGCTTATTTTAATTTAGACCGTTGTTTTTTAATTGTTAAGTATGCGCGTACACTCGATTTTTCAGCCGCCGCGGCGCCGCGCGCAACCGTGCGCCTCTATCGTACTTATGCATAGTTTACATATACTTACAAATAATTATTATTTATTGAATTATAATTTATTCGTCTTCCGGGTTTGGACCGTGTCATTTGTGAGTGACCCAAAAGTGGGTTCATCTCATGATGAACCCACTTTTTGGTGGGATGAACATGAGATGAACCCACTTTTGGTCACTCACAAATGACACGGTCCAAACCCGGAAGACGAATAAACTATAATTCTGACTCTGGCCGTGGAAGCCTACGATTTCCATTATTTATTGAGTATATATTTATTTATATCAATTGAGTTATAATATAAATTTCGTCTAAAACCTAATAATAGTTACATAAAAATAATTGTATAAAAGATTGTTAAATAACACACTAATATCACTCAGTAAAAGTATCTTTGTTTTCACAAAAATCTAAATCACATCCACATAATGGTACAACAGTTGACATGATTTTTCTTGCAGTTGCATGCATTAGTTTTGCAAGTCTTTTTGCATTTGCACGGTTTCCCAACGTACCACTATCAGACATATAATATCCATATTGTGTAAAATCGAGAGTTTGATAGCGGGAATATATGGCATTTCGCCAAATATATGTTTTTAGCGAAAGCTCTTAACAAGTGTTGGTAAAGTGCGTTAGAGGTACAAGGTATATTGGCTAGATTAAATTAAATTTTTCAGTCACACTGTCTTTTCGTCGAAGAGCAGCATTTTGTATTGTTATGTAAAAATCTACTTTAGGTTTTTGCACTAACTTAATATTGTTGATGTTATTACAAAAAATACAAACTAAATTTTCTTCGGTAAGTTTTCATTTAAGAAGAGGTACGGAAAAAGACATTTTAAATCCATTCACAATTTTTTTAATAACACATTAATAATATAATGGGCACCCTTTTAATGGGCATTAAACAATAGTCTTCCTAATGATCGTTTAAGTAATAACAAATCAAGTATGAGCGCGCGATTGTTAAACAGGTAAAAACTTGCATTTTTGCGATAGTATATTTTTTTAAACACCGCGCAATTTAAAATTAAGTTTACTAATATTAATATTTACTGCATTGTATTATTTAAATAATAATTTAAAAATATTATTTACAATTGATATAAATAAATATATACTCAATAAATAATAATTATATTGTTCAAATTTGGAAGAAAAAAAACTATATACGGTTATTACATTGCGATGATTGATTTATTTAATTAGACCAATGACAATAATTAATACCTACATAAATAAATTATGCAAAAAAACTATGTTACTAACTTCAAGGATTTGTTCGGGTTTTATTTACGTAAGTGTATATGTAAACTATGCATAAGTACGATAGAGGCGCACGGTAGCGCGCGGCGCCGCGGCGGCTGAAAAATCGGGTGTACGCGCATACTTAACAATTAAAAAACAACGGTCTAAATTAAAATAAGCCCCGATTACTCTTCACAATCTTAAAGTTGAATGTTTAAACTTCAATTTAGATACTTGGTAACCTCAAAAATAATAATTTACATATGTGTTTTCAAGCCTCAAAAATGCGTATTTTCGCGTTTTTCAGACTTTAAGTCGCTTATAACTCGAAAACTATCAACTTTAGAGAAAAATGACAGGAGACCTTTTTTATTTAGAATGACCCAAAAACCTAAAAAAAACGTTTTCCAGATTAAAAAAAAATATTTTTGGAATTTGTTTAAAAAAAATTGTTTAAACAATTTCTGCCCAAAAATTTCGCCCGGCACCCTTCAGATTTGTTTAAAGGGGACATTTTTGAACCGGAATCCACGAAGAAACAGAATCAGAAACATTTTCCCAACGGGAGCGGCCTCACAGCCTGGACTATGTATTAGATTTAGGTATCTGATTTTTTTAAATTAATATAGTTTTAAATCATTTTTAAATTAATTTTTAATGGTATTTTGATGACTCTATAAATAGGCTTACCATAATTATGAAACTCTTAACCGGGACAGTAAATGGTGGATAGGGTAAAGTATAAAAAAAAAAACAATTAAGCTGCTGCTAAAAATTTTTATTAATAAAATACCTATTTTTGTACCATTCATACTTCTTGCTTGTATGTACTTTTTTAATAAAATGTTATTTTAATGCCTTAAAGGCAAAATAGAGGGTCGTAGAGGTGTAGAAAGCAAACAAGTTTCTTGGTTAAAAAACATTCGTGAATGGACTCGGATACCAAATGCAGGACAATTATTCCCTATTGCAGAAGATCGAGAAGCATTCGCAATGGTGATCGCCAACGTCGGATAGTTCTGATATGGCATGCGAAGAAGAAGAAGTTATTTTTTCGTAAAAATCGTTAAATTGTCATATTGAAGTTTAATTTATAGTATAGTAATGTTTATACGGTAGACTCCAAGATACGGCTTCTATCGTCCGACCAAATGTTTCATCATCGAGAAGACACGCTCTAAAGGAGCGGAGGTGCCTGGTAAGCACAAAATATATTGCTCCATGAAAATGTTTAAATAGAACATATAGAACAAATAGAACAATAGGTAGAACCCATTTGTCAATATATCAATTTGTATCGTCGTGGAATTCCATTCATCATTCTTTGATGCTATAAAAACTTTCGTAAGTGACAGCTTATCAAAAAGGTTGTCAGTATTAATATTTTGTCGATCGTCCGAACCGTGTATTTTTGTTTATAATTTCAGCAGATCCTTCGATTTCGTCCCATTTCAATACGTGATTCAGTCCAATCCATTCGAAAATGTCAGCTCCTCCGAAACTCTCTTCCCACAATTCAATGTATGAATTGCATTGTCGGTAAAAATCAGTTACTTATGTTTGAAAATTATCAAATTCCTGGCTACTACCAAGATTCTTTAATAATAATTGATTTGCTCTTTGTGGTACATGCTGTCCATGCGTTCTTGAAGATTAGATTTCAATCTTCTTAATTCCAAAATAATGTCAGTCGCAATTGCTTCACTTTTTTCCATAAGTAGTACAGTCTTGTTAAAATTGTTTAATTGTCCATGCACAAACCAAAAATATAACTCACCCGTTTCACTTTCAAAAAATCTCGCTTTGGACGTGGACAGTTATCGTGGGAAAGGAAATATGCTCTTAGTCCTTCGAATATATTTATAATTTTCTCAATTGCCGGCAAAAGAGAAAGAAATCTGGTAGTTCCATGTTGGATTAGGTTTTTATATTCCACATCTACACATTCACAGAATTCCTTCAACTGAGTTGCTCGAACTGTGTAGATATGAAAATGTTTATATATTTTGACAACTAGTCCTTCAATTTCGATTGGTAAACCATCCACAGCATTTTGAAGTGTATTCTGTACAATGTGTAAACATTATTTTGTCCTCTTCTATGCACACCTCCAAAATTTGTATTACAATTGTCGCCACAGAATGCAGTTACGTTTTTTCTAATGTCATGACGACGTTGAAATTATATTTTGAGTCAATATTTCTGATGTCTTACCCTGAACGGAGTCAAAATTCAATAGTTTTCACATGTACACCTTCTAACGGTAAGTAGTATCTAACCATAATCGGTGCCAGTTTGATGTGCTTTGTATTTGAGGTGTCGTTAGTAACACTTACAAAGAAGCCTTCTGTAGGTCGGTGTGTAACTGACAAAGACAAAGATGCCAACATATTTAAAATGATCGCTTCACATTTGGTTCTCGCAACCCCAAATTTTGATTCAAAACAATTTTGAAATCAATTTCGACGTACAATCAGATGATTTGTAGCTTATATCATGCATTGCCGTGTGATAAGCGAATGAAATCAAAAAAAATTTTGATGTACTTGCAATCGCCGTTACACCAGTCTTCTGTTTTACACACTTTAAGTAATCTTTAATATCTGCGCGCCCACCGTGTGCAATTGAAAATTCTGAAAAACATTTGCTGGCATTTCACCCTGCTATTGTCACTACAAAGCTTTTTTATAAAAAGATAATCTTTTTCAAGCGCTTGTAAATTTGCAATTTCTTTTCTTTTTTGCACGATTAGGGTAAACTGCGATTTGTTTTTTTTTAATTCATCCATGATTTTTTTAATATTTATATTCGATCACGACTCACTAAAATAATGTTTTAAGAAATTTATTACGGTGAATTGCTGAATTGGTCATTTTGATGATTTCGAGAATTAAGAACGTCTTCTGTTAAAATATCTTATTAATCAGATGTGCAGTCATTATTATAAAATTCAAAATTACGACAGTTTTGTCAAACCGGGACAAAATGACAAACCGGCCGAGACTCCGGAACCGATGTCTACAACCGGGACAATCCCGGTTAAACCGGGACGTGTGGAAAGCTTATCTGAAAATCACCCACAATCATTATTGACTGTAATTAACAGTCGGAATAGCCGAAAAAACATCCTGCAAAAAAATAAACGAATTATTTAACAATAAACGTAACAGAGTAAAAAACAAACATGCGGTCAGTTTTAGGTTATGTTGTATATTTGTAGTACTTAGAAGGTTTAGAATTTGGTATTTAATTTCCCAAAACGTATGCAGAATACAGAGTACTTTTTCTTTCTTCATTTTTGTTTAAACCCTTTTGTGGTTGAATTTTTAATGACAGCTTCTTTTTGTTTCAGATTCAATAAAATGTCCACATAAACATGGAATCAACTTCGGTATCTGTAAATATCGACCCTACCTCTATAGAAGCGCCAGTTATATCTTCGAATGACTCCAAAATATTTAATGATAGTGGTGGAGAAAATGACGGCGATACCACCATCCATGCTTTCAATATGTCTACATCACAGTTTCACATCACTGTTGTGGAAAACCCCGCACTAAAGAAATCTTCACAGTGTGAAGGCAGTGATAGCGGGGTAGAGGTAGTAGAAAATGTCGAAAATCAGGATCCTGTCGTGTACCAACGTAATATAAGCTCTAATAGTGGCATGTCACAGGATTACGATAATATAAATAGTGCCCGATCGTGCGATTCTTCGATTATAAGTTGCTATGACGAAGCGTACAATATCCTCGTTCGGAAAAATTCAACTTTACTGGAGGATTATCGAAGACATGAAGACGTTACCAGCGAAAATGGTAGTGAAAGTTCTTCGTTAAGTGGATCAAACGTACGAACAAATAGAAGAACCTCTGTAAACAATTCAAAAAAGAAAACACCAACAGTTGACTCGAGAACTAAAACTTCTTGTAGAAAAGAACGGTCTAGTACAAAACCTCCGTTAACCCCTAGACCGTCTACAGGGCCCATACGAATCAAATCTGTCGATAGGTTACAGGCCAAACCTTCTCCAAGTACAAAAACTAATCAAAGGACCAAAACTATTCCTACGAATTTAGATCTTAAGCGGGAACCCAAAAGAGTATCATCTGCTGCAGTGCGCACGTCTTCAACAAGTAGAACACCTACATCTGGCCATAATGACGACGGCAGGTGGCCATCTATTAATAGTAAACCAGCACCACTAATGTCCAGATCGTTGAAAGGATCTATAGATTGCACCAAGCAAAAAATTTCGCCATTGGATACTAAGACTATAGAAAAGTATGCTACACTTCCAAGGCCGAAAAAAGACAAGAATATCGATGAAAACAAGGACGTGAAAAAATCTAGTAGGGAGAACACACTTCATCGCTTAGCTCTAACTAAACAAACTTCTCGTGAAAGCACACCTTCGAAACTGATGACAAGCTCTTTGTATATACCTAAAAGTAAAACGAAAACTAAGATATACCACGAAAACGGTGTTCAGACAGCCTTAACAATTACCGACATAGAAAACGCTTTAGCCGGAGTTGCAATAAATGCCAAAAATCCACACGATTCCGAAACTAGCGACAAAGATCTCCAGGTTGACACTATTAGCGCAGATATGAATAAATTGAAGGAAAGATTAGAAGCGATAACTGAAAAATACGAGGCGTTACAAAAAGACTACAAATCACAGACTGAAAAACTTAAAGAGACTGAGGAAAAGTTAAGGGAAGAAGTTATTGAAAAGAACGGTTTGCGGGAGGAATTAGAGAACAATTCGCAAAGAGTTATGGCCATTTTGGGAACAGATACCACTGATGGTAAGTTGCACGTTTGTTTCAAATTCTTATTTCGATTTCAATTTTTGTCTTAGTTCTTTTTTGCAAATTTAACAAAATATTTTGGTTTTATAAATTGCTGTAATTTTAAAACAATTTCTCTAGTGTTTGACAGTTACTAAAAAAATCCACTAGGAAACTAAGTTCCTGTAGCTGGCTGTATACCATATATCACAAAAAATTTATTTCAAATCTTTTATAAAAGGTATATAATAAAATGCCCAAACAGGCTATCACAATTACATTACAAAACGTTTTCGGATTGTTAAATCCATCATCAGTGTAAACCTGAAAGTAAATAACCACTTTAATTAAAAAGAACGTTGAATTTAAAATATTGACTAAGATTAAAGAAAAATGTGGTTAATACTTACGAGGTATACATGCTATGAGCCAACAAAATATATGGGTCAAAACCCTTTAAATGTTATAAATTTACAGTTGTTGTACATTATATATGATTACAGATTATGATGTTTAAGTTACCATTGGAATTTGTAACATGGCGACGTATCACCCTACATAGGTAAAATGGTCCTGAGACGAAGTGTCTTCGAGGACCTGTTGATAACAACTGATCAAAATGACATTGTTGACATGTTAGAACGGATGTTGTGTCAGAGCAGTCAGTGTAACTTACGGTAGTTGTCAGTCTCAAAGTGAAGATTTACAACGTATGCTTCACCAATTTAATATAACCGCCAGAAAATTTAACATGTTAATTTATCCAAAAAATACAAGATGCATGGTTACAACACCTAATTTACTAAGATGTAAATTGGAGCTGGAAGGTCAGATAATAGAACAAGTGATGGAGTTAAAATATCTAGGCATCACATTATCTAGCTGGAAAGCTCGAAACTGAAGTGGAAGATCCAGTGAATAGAACAGAGCCGCATGCTGCCTGAATGAAACAATATGGAGATATAAAAATATCGCGAAAGAAACGAAAGGCAGAATTTACAAAACATCAGACCAATAATGATATACGCAGCAGAATTAAGACCTGACACAGACATGACAAAAAGGATTTTAGAAACAGCAAAGATGAAAGCACTTAAAAAAATTGATGGTAAGACACTATGGGACAGTGCTAGAAGTACAGATATACGACGTAGATGCAAGGTGGAGAACATCAAGAACTGGGAAGAAATAGAAGAGTAGAATGGAACGATCATATAAGCCGAATGACAATAAATAGAGTAGTAAAGACGACAAGAGATGGTTCCCCAATAAAGACAACTTACTGGAGGCACATTGAAAAACAAACGTCAAACAGACGTATTGTATTCATGTCTATGTAAAAAGGAGAAGAAAAAAAAGTGATTTTCAATGTGTTTTCGGTAGCTAACTGTCTCAATTTATCTCCGTTATTATGTGTTTAAATGCCGTCTTCTTATTTCCACTCCGTATGAAATAACTAGAAGAAATTACTTATTATCCTATATAAATCATACTTATAAGACTAGTCATGCTAGAGACATCATATTATGATAAAAATTGACATCTCAACAAACTCGCATTAACTGTAATCTTAGACTTACGGTTACACCAAACTAAGATGGAAAAAGCTCGAACCATTCTTAAAGAACGTTAAAGTTTCGGAAATTGTGACTTGCACAAAGAAGTATATTTCACGAATTTTGGACTGTTTTGGATTATTGCTAGACACCCGACAGCTAATGGTCCACTCGACTGTACAGCATAAGAAGTACGAAAATAAATTGGTCTATAGTTAAAGACAGACTGAGAGTACAGTACGGTTAAAATAGGAATGCGCATTTGCTGGATTTCACGCCATGTGTTTGGCATCAAGTCCAAGTAGTGGTTACACGTACAGAACCGTCCAAACATCTTTACGATGATAAAGATTACGAGTAAAACTACCTTTTTTGATTTTAATTTACGCTATAAATTAGAATAAAACAGAAAAAATATGATATTTATTATAAAATACATATATTTACAAATAATTGTCAATAAGTAGTCAAATAAGCAGAAGACTGATAAATGTATATTATTTACTATGAAATAATTGAGTTGTGTCACAAATATTCAATTATACTAATGTCACTCTCTACATCCGAGTTGTCGGATTCGCTTTCTCTATTCTACCCACAAATCACCTACCTCTCTACCCTGTGTTTGCATGTATAATCAATTGGTCTACGTTATCTTGCAGGTTGTCCGCGATTCACATCTCAGTTTCCATTTTCTCAATGACATGAGTGACATAATTGCGCCAATTTTGCTTTTTTACGCATGCTAAACCACCGTCGATCAACTGACACATCTCTTCGTTGTTAAAAGTGGTATTGTGGGTGGGTATGCAAACATATGTACATTAAATAGAAACATTATAATATATTCTCACTATTCATAATTAATAGTTTGGTAAATTTAAACCAGATTCGTCCAAATATAAATGATATTGCAATCGTCTCTTCCCAAACGTCGTATAGTTCTCAAATAATTATGGCACCAATGAATAATATTCTCTCGCTCCCATTGATGCTTCTTCGGCCACGTTTCTTATAAACAAATCTGATTCCTTTCAGAAGCCTGTATAAAGTAGAAAGAGTATAGAGTAGAAAGGCAGTATATTCTCATTACCTCGTATAGTTATTATACGCTTTAAGTATGGCGGCAAATTTTTTATAAAAAATTCACAATGAACAGTTCTCCGTTGAGAACTTCTTACAACCTCGTCTTATGTGAATATTCTAGAATAGGTTTGACTTACCAGTTTTTTACGTTTTTTTGTGATTTCAACGTTCTACTGTGTTCTTTTTATTTTTTGATATTATAAATTCTTCTGTTGCTAACACCAGTTATCAACTAAGTACGGCTTACAGCAGTACTCATATTAAGTTGTTCTGTATTTAAAAAAACACACAAAACATTCAACAGTACCAGTTTAGCGCAACCATTTAATGATTCAACGGGTTTACAGCTATAAGACTCCATGCTCTCTGCTCCAAAGTCGGACAAAATACTGTAGTATCGTTTCGTTTTATTCGCTGAACTTCAGAGACTTCGGTGGAATGATAATGTAGTGAGAATGGATGCCGAAAAATTTCCGTAAAGAGCCCTAGAGTAAAATTTAGGGGGCAAGATCAAAAGAATGGCCACGGGAAATGTAGGAGCATGAAGTAGCAGTAGACGCGTAAAATTTGCTAGACGTTAGAATCTAGGCTAGACACGATATCTGGTACACGTAATGATGGGACAGCGATATGAACTGCTAAGGCTGGTAATACAGGGAAAGATAAGAGGAAGAAGGAGAGTGTCATGGTTGAAGAATTTAAGGGACTGGTTTAGATGCAGTTCTATAGAACTCTTCAGAGCAGCAGTAGATAAAGTAAAGATAGTGATGATGATATCCAACCTCCGATTGGGAGACGGTACTTAAAGAAGAAGAAGAGAATCTGGAGAAGACTGCGCGGGACCGGCAAGGTTGAAGGCATAGTTTGGAGACTAAGACTCGATATGCGCCATTTAGAGAGAGAGTCGTTTCGTTTTTCAGAGGCACTTTCACCCATCTTCTTCTTCTAGTTCCATGACCGTTATCGATCGTTGGATATCATGTTGGCTACCATATTCGCTATCGTGACTTTATTGACAGCAGCTCTAAATAACGATGTAGTTGATTTTCCATACCATTGCCTTAGATTTTTCAGCCATGATGTTCTTCTTCTACCAGGACCACGATTACCTTGGATCTTTCCCTGAATGATCAGATGTAAAAGATCATATTTTCCAGGGTGTCTCATAATATGACCGAAGTATTCCAGCTTGCGTTTCTTTTATTATATTGACCAGTTGTGTTGTTTGGTTCAGCCGTCTAAGGACCTCCTCATTTCTAACTCTGTCGACCCAGCTTATTTTCAGTAGTCGTCTGTATACCCACATCTCAAAGGCTGTCAAGCGTTTAAGCATAGCCTCAGTTAGGGTCCACGCTTCTACTCCATACAGCAGGACAGGAAAGATGGTAGCAAGATATCATACGAACTCTAAGGTCAATGCTAAGATCATGACTGCAAAGTACGTTTCTCATTTTTACAAAGGCAGCTCGGGCTTGTTCTATTCGGCTTTTTAATTTCTGCGGTTGGATCCCAACTCTCATTGATAGTACTGCCGAGATACACGAGTTTCTCTACTCTGTCCAGTGTGGCATCTCCGACTTTTATACCGTCATCATGTATATAATTTTGTTTGCTAACTATCATATATTTAGTTTTCTTAACGTTGAGTTTTAATCCATACTGATCACAAGTCTGTTTTATTTTGTTCATTAGATTTTGAAGGTCTTCTCCGCAATTGGCAAGGACTAAGGTATCGTCGGCATATCTAATATTGTTGACGGTTACTCCATTCACAATAATACCTTCGGTTGTCTCCATTAAGGCTTCCTTAAATATTTCCTCCGAATATAAGTTAAAAAGTAAAGGCGACAATATACAACCTTGTCTCACTCCTCTTTTTATATTTATTTCATCCGACAGTTCTTGTTCAACCTTTATTCTTGCCACTTGATGCCAGTATAGATTTGTAATTATTCGTAGATCTTTATCGTCCAATCCAGCTGTTTCCAATATTTCTAGCATTTTGTTATGTCGAACTTTGTCAAAAGCTTTTTCAAAATCGATTGCACAAATATACACATTTTGATTTATATCTCTGCATCTCTGTACTAGCACCTGTATACTAACTAAACAAGGCTTCTCTTGTACCCAAGCCACTCCTAAACCCAAATTGAGTATTGTTAATTCTGTCCTCTAACAGCGTATAAATTCTGCTGTGTATTACTCGCAGAAAGATTTTCAAAACGTGACTCATCAGACTTATTGTCCGATAATCACCGCATGTCTTTGGACGATGTTTCTTAGGTATTGTGACAAATGTCGACTTTAACCAATCAGTTGGTAATATTCCAGTGTCATAAATTCTGTTAAAGAGATTACACAGAGCTTTAATTCCAT